AGTAGCAATACTGCTGTGCTATACGTTTGTGACTAGAATCTCATTAAGTCACTAGAACTGATGGTCCTGATGGTCACCACGAAGCAGGAAATAGACGGTTACCGCACCTTTTCGTTACAGTTGTTGGCGTCTTATGGTTATTGCTGAATAGTGCCTTTCGCTCCAAATAAATTTCAACAATTCATCTTAATTTACAATGCTACGTCAATCCACAGACTTTATTGGTTTGGCGCTAGCAATCATAGTCCACCGGTGGCCAACTACCTTGACAAACACTGGTGTTCTTTGGTTTAATTTATTTTGAAATTCATCTAAAATTGTCATATTACTTCCCACAGCTGACTTATGGACTGAGCTCCAGTGGCAGCCGTCTTATAGGTACTAAACAACAGCCTTTGCGGATACTGCTAAGCTTCATTATCTTTTTAATTTAAACAAATGTATCTAAATTTAATACATCAGCTCAAGCCGGTAATCCATCACACGAAATGGTGACCGTCAACCTATAGGTCACTGGACCGTATCTTCAACTTGTAGGTCAGTGGTGATTAATATCTTTATAAGGCAACATTGTGCTTCCATTTAATTTAATTAAAAATTATTTAAATTAACTGCATCACTTCACAATGAAGACCTACTGGTTGACTGTCACTCGCAGCTAAACTGTAGGTTACAGGTGACCAACAGTCTTGACGAGTATCGGCATGATTAAATTAAGAAAATCTATGTAAATTTACTATACCTTAGCACACCTGTGACTTATGCATTTATCGTAAATGAACCTCAAACACGTAAGTCACAAGTGATCACGCCTCGGTGGGCACCGCATGGATTTAACTTGTCTTTTAAGTATCTACTTAAATTTACTGTATCACCACACATTGGTGATCTATCGATTGACTCTAAATGGCAAACTTTAGACCACCAGAAAAAACAGACTTGATGGACGTATTTCTATTCGATTTAAATTTAAAATGCCATTTAAATTTCTTGCATGCTCCATACTATCTTACTGGGAAGACGAGCCTATTAGACTCTAATTAGGCCAGTAGATGTAGAGTGAACGCTGAGTGAGTGTACTGGAGTAACCTGAACTCGGAGTGAGTGTAGATATTCAGTGAATGAAATATAAAAACAAGGCCCTATGATAAAGAAAACTAAAGAAAAAAAAGAGTCCTATCTTTCAAACAAAAAATAAAGTGAAAGTGTAGAAAACCGTCAGGTGTCAATACGAAGAAAACTGCCTTTTTATATTATAATGTATCATTCTTGGTCTCTTGAATATAAAGTCAATTTCAGGATCATAATTAATAATTGCAGGGATTTCAGGATAAACGGAGGTAGACGTATTATCAAAGAAGCAGTGCGAATACATTAAAATATAATCACAAATGTCTGGTATATCGACGTCCTGGTGAATAATCTGGTCCTGGTCTTTTAGCGCTGCTTACAGCCGTAACCTTTCGTCAGTCAACAGGAAAGTCTGGGAATTTTTGTATGATGTAATAAATGAATGATAAGGATACGAATAAAAAAGAGAATTAGTTCTAAATATCGCCCACTAGAGAGCGTATTACTCTCAAACACCCGTACTATACATGCAGATATTTTTAGCGCCACGCGACAGCTATTACAAATCCCCAAGCACGCGTAGCGTATGATTTCGCAGAGTTAAAAGAAAGGCTAAAAGGTTTAAAATTAATCCTTTGCAGCGTACAGCTAATAGCATTCCAAAAAATGTGTGATAATTTTCGGCGAAAGGGGGAACTAAATATGCTATGTTGTGACGCATAAAACTAGTTTGAACACTTTATTAAAATTCGAATATGCCCTTAAAAAACACTATTTCATTATAAAAATAGATTTAAAGAAAGAATTCTTCGTGTATCCCAAGGAAATAGCGCTTAGTTAAAAATAAAAATGTGAACTGCAGTTAAAAAATTAAAAATATAAATAAATAAAAATAGAATTGTAACAAAATTAAAGCATTCTTTTAGTGGAGATCATTAGACTTCTGAAGCTGAGAAATAGGAAAAATCAACTGTCCTCTCAATGGGATTCAAGCCATGGATATTCCAGCTGCTATTTGTACATGCTGACCACTTACACTATGTCAATACGTGCTGGGAAATGCCTTAATCGTTTACATTCTTAAAAATTTAATGACGAGAAAGGAAAGGTACGAGACTCAGTCGGCCAATTCGAGTAATCACAAGTCATCCAATAGAACAATCGTTCAGCTTTTTTTGTTAATTACCTGTCCTGTCGAATGGGAAAGACTGGCTACCATCGAACCATAAAAGATGGCGGTCTCCTGCCAAATTTCTCTCAATCGTTCCTGCTTAATTCTGAAGGCACAGACGTCTCTTGATTTAAATAAACAATCAGTAATCAGCCGTCTTCTTATTCGTGTTTCAGTCTATTTTTTTTCAGTCGATTTCGAAGGATTTCATCAATTTTTATTATTTTGTTAGGCTGTTCCATTTTACCAAAAGCTCTGTTTACATCGCTTCGAGTACAAACGTTCCCCAGATAATTGTTTCAAACTACTACAATTTTTGTCGGTCACATTCAGCTGGCCATGTCATGTCCATTAATTACCCCTTTTTTATAGTCGGATTCCGTAACTATTTTATTATTATTTATTCGTTTATTTGATAATCGGATAGTCGAATTCCATAAAAAATAATCCACTGCCTGCTGGTTAGTAGAAGGCAATATTAATTTTTTTCTCTCAAAAGTCCAAGCAAAAATTACAAGTAAATGGTTAATTTATATCTTATTTCATGAAAAATAAAGGTGGTCTATCGAGAAACATTTGGGGTTAGATCAAGCGATAGCGCAGATATGAATGTGTTGTTATATCACGCTTATCTGTATTTGGCTACCCACCAGTGGCCGAGCGGTAAAGTCGTGAGTACTGGTAGTTCGATCCGAGGTTCTAATCCTGTCGAACGCACCGGCTGCGTATGCGCTTTCGTCGCTTTCCTTACGTGTAATGTATATAAGAGCAAGTTTCTTTTCGAAATTCTCCACGATGGCATCCTTTCCCTTAGCAGATAGCTCTCAAGTGCTTTGCCCTAATCGCGTGAACGGAAACAAGCCCTTGACATCAGCTTCACGATCGACGGGCTAATATGTGAGTACCTTTTTTTAGCCCAAAGGGAGTTAGCCCAGAAGGGCTATTAATTTACATTTGGCATTTTGTGGAGTTTTACTTTTCAGATTATTGCCACCAAATATTATCGCCCTGTATTGTATTTAAAGAAGTTAAATAATGAAGAATCTGCATGAATGTGTGTATGTTTCTCGCACTGTGAGAAAACAACGGTACCTAGAGACATCAAATTTTTAATAACGTAGTCCTCCATTCGAATATGTGTATCTCGAAGGCAAAATTTGGAATTTGTTTTATTATCAATTTCATGTTTTGTAAAATATTAAAGAATGTTTGATTAAAAAATTCAACGATTTCAAAGCGAGCAATGGCAATACTATACGGAGGAAGAAAGAAAAAAAAAAAAATTATCGTCAGCGCAACGAGACAGAAATTCTAAAGATATGTTTTTTAAAAATTATTTAGCGATATTGCTGTTCAGTTGAATTTTAAGGTTTAAGTGCGAAGACTATGATATTTAATAAGTAACGCACAAAACATTATAAAAACGCCCCTTTGGCCGTTAATCTAAAACCTGAAAGCTTTCAATTTTTTTTTTCCCCGAAATTGAAGGATGCTATTCCATTGCTGGATAAGAAACTATTATTTTTTTTCCAGTTTATTGAAGCAGAATTTTTTCGGCTTTTCGAAGAATTAAAACAGTATCTTAGGCAAAATTATCTGGTGCTAATGAATTTTTTTAAAAACTAACGCAAGCAGCTATCTGGACAGTTATTTGAATCTGAGATATTATGCGTTAAATTAAATATATGAATATTATTTCTATATAGCTGTAATAGTTTAAAACTATACAGAATTCTTTCTATATAGCTTTAAACTGTTGTAAAATACTTTGAAGTGATTGCTATGAAGATATTCTGAGTGACAACTTTACAATCTATGATGTGTGGAATTCTGAATGCAAGAAATAAGAAAAAGTTTAAAGATTGTGTAATAATTTAGTTTTTAACTTCTTCTTCCGAAAAGTTTAATTTCTTGGTGATATTAGGCTGTAAGGTTTCACATTGAATATTTTTTATATGTAAAATTTTTAAAACTATCCAAGTTTTACATTTTTGTATTCTTGAAAATAAAATGTATTTTTTAATATGTTTAAACATTTTTATTTAAACCTCTTTTTTACTGTAATCTGAGTTTTTAGAAAATGCAAGCCAATATTTTTGCTTTCATAATTACTGTTGCCACACCTGGTAGAAAGTTGCTTGCGTCATTCAGGATTCATTTGCAGACAGGGGATTTTGTTTTCTTTTCTGAAATACTTTGCATAAACACCGAGAAGACTAAACCATGCGTTTCAATTTGTGGATGCTCCCATGTCAACCTTAATAATTCTATACAAATTCGAATCAGACGATGTTCTTCGAAGTGGGCCACAGCACAGATTCTCGGCAAGGTCAAGGGTGCAGCGCCACCTGCGTTCGTAGTGTCTTCATTCCAGCCCAGAACCCTTTTATCTCGAATCAGATGCCGACTTATTTGAAGAATCCTGAAGTATTTGCCCGAAAATCTTTAGTGAATTGCATATCGCATTAGTGAATCGAATTCTAAGTATTCTCAAAACATATGTAGAATCGTTTTTTGATAGACACTAATGTTTATTTTAATAAATCTGTAAATGCCAGAATTTACGTGGGATTTAAAGTTCAGATTTTTTTAATATGAGAAAAGTATTTAAAATATGCACATATATAAAGAAAGTCAGAATTTCATTCGGAATCAGTGTTGGAGAATTCTGAAAACGTCTAGCCTATTTTTAAGATTTAAGCAACGGAGCAAAATCTATTGATATAAGTGGCCAGTCAAAAGTTCCGACTTTACTTACTTTCTGTTTCATGTAAATTCTTTTGGATTTTACTTTTTACACTAGTCGCCACGCTGCCAGCTTTCGTCTGGCCTTTAAATATACCGGAAAAATGCCTAAAGGGAAAAAAAAAAAAAAAAAGACACAAATTTCAATAAAATTGTATTACCTATAAAAATTACAATGAAGTAAGCAATATCCCTTAATATAAATATTAATTATCCTAATAAATAAATTAACCAACTTCCCGTTGCCTTCTCTCGACAAACGTTTGGTATCCAAGAGAAACATTAAATTTAAAAGCTGCGCAGAATTACCGCCCTCATTTTTCCGAGTGGCAACAGTGCTGATTTTCAACAGTCAGCAGTCCAGTATACAAAGCATTGATGAAAAACTGTTGCCAAAACCACATTTATAAAAAAATGAAACTATTTAAAATGATGCAATTTCATCAAAAAAGATAAAATTAAAAACAAAAATCTGATTCGAATTTTGAAAACAAAAATCGCTTTTAGGTGCACTGGCTCTTGTCTAGACGCACCTATGTACCAAATTTCGTAGCTCTGAGTCAATTAGTTTACGCGCAGCATGAACGAAAGACACACACACACAGACGTACTCTTTATTATATGTAGAGATTTATAGTTATTGATTATAATATTTCCCCTTTGTTTATTCGCAAAACTGAGTACTTCATCCTTGCATCCATGTATGAGGTTCAAAATTGTCTCTAATTTGAAGATTTCCCTCGATATGGTAGTTTAAATCTAATTTTAGACAAAAGCTAAATGAAAACCATGAAACGTAAGAACCTATGATCAGTGGAATTGGTATGCGTTGACAGTTAGTATGTATATATTTACAGAGTAATTCCACTAATTCGAACTTGTATGCATACAGTAGTTAATTTGATTAATATTCGTTAACTTTTCTTAAACCGTAAAAGTTACTAAAAGTACGAATTCTTGAAAATATTACGGAAGTAATTTGTTCTTTAAGAATTTTTAGGACTTTCGCTTTTGTTATAGGCTTAATCAAAATTTCGAATCATCTAATTTTGAGTTAATGAGCGTTAACTGTAATGGTTTTCAGTCACAAGCACCAAACATAAATAAATGCTGTTTTAGATTAAGTAATTTAAACAGTTTTGGAAGCGAACGCTACGAAAAAGGTTGTGCAAGATATTCTTACAATATAGGTAATGATTTCGTATCTTAGTATCGTTTGGGGAAAATAAAGTAATTAAAGAATTTTCAATGATTTTAAAATATCTAAACTTTGGAATTTTGGATATTGAAGTAATTAAATAAATAAAGTAATTAAAGAATTTTCAATGATTTTAAAATATCTAAACTTTGGAATTTTGGATATTTTGAAGTATATGTCAATTTTAAATTTTCCCTTTCAACCTTCAATATTACTTCCTACGAAAACGGCCCATCTGTGGTGAAATCAGTTCAAATCTTTGTTGATAATTAATTCCTTCTGGATTCGATTCCCAATGACTGAAGGTTTGGAAGCGTGAAGTTGTACGGCCTTCTTTATTTGTTATGAGGATACGATTCAGTTTCCCTTCATAAGTTCTTTATAGATTCATGTTTTTCAGGTAGAAAACTTCGGAGGTATGAGAAGCTTAGTCTAAAGTTGGCAAATTTTGTAGTTTTATGCGTTTGGTATTCATTCGAGAAAAAAAGAGACAGGTCAAATAAATTAATGATAATTGACTTAGTGATATTTTATAGAAACTAAAAATAACTTTTTAAGCAATTTTAAAATGAGAAATAACGTGCAAAAATCTACAGTAATATTACAAGTAATTATGATAAATTTATGAATTAATAAAACACATCTTTAGCATTTTCCAAGATGAATTTTTAAACTTATGAAACTGACTTTATGTTTAAACAAGACTTAACTATAAGTGGAATCTGTACTTAACAGATTCCACTTTTAATACCAAAAATACTTAATCTCAACGATGATTTTTTTGTTCTTTCCATATCATTTCTGAGAGCAATAGATTCTTAAAAAGAGCATATACTCATGAAATTAGAAACTATCGTGAATTTACTTAAAATATGTGTGTGCAAAAATCACCTGAAAATTGTTTCAGAAGTTGTTGACGACTTTCATCAGTATCTAGCAACAATACATATTTAATTTGCAGTACTTTCGTATTATCGCAACCACCTTAGTAGAAGTCACCAAACTCTGGTGCGCTTAACAGTTCTTTAGGTAACCATATCCATTGTAAGCTGCAATCCAAAAATTCACCGAATAACTTTTATTTCTGTACAAATCGCGAAACTGCGCCAATTTGGTTGCTCTAATATGTATCTCATTTCTTTTACTGTTTATGAATAATTTCGCTTTTAATAAGTAATGAATTTTTGTTTTGGAGATTTTTCAAAACGGCGTATGTAATTAAGCAAAGAACGTGCATTTAATTTTTTTAACAATAGAGCATCTACTACAAAAGAGTTTTAAATATTGCAAAAGGTCTTGGTATATGGAGGGTCTAGGATCTTTCGCTGTCGCCATTTCACCTTGGCCGCCGTCAAGATTTATTTTTCTTTACCTGACTGTATTTTAACTTGCCATATTATAGTCGTATTAAATTTATTTAGTTTAATAATTCTGTTTACCTTTTATACACTTAATAAAGATTGCTGGTAATATATGTATAGTTATTTACAAGTATGAGATATAAAGAAATTACACATAATTGGAAAATTATGTCAGTATCAAAAGGAACTGGGGCTAAACTTCTGTTATATCAGAAGTTATATAATTGATTTAAAAAATATGCGGGTGCTATATTTATATAATTCGGCTAGTTCAGAGAATTTACTCATACAAGCAGAAAATTTACATTTTTATGAAATCTGAAACGGTCAGCACATTACTCTCTTAAAATTAATATGTCAGGTGTAACGCTGCATTTGTATAAAACTGTACACAAAAACATTTTATATATTACTTTATAAATTTTTTATTGAAGTCAATGAAATTATTAAACTAAACAGAGTTATTAATTAAAGTCAATATAATACGGCAAGATATATATATATATATAACGTCAATATAATACAGTCGTGTAAAGAAAAATATGTCTTGTCGGCGAAACACCATGTCGAAACGGCCACGGCGAATAATTCCCATTCCCGTATATATAAACTAGTATTTTTCAAAACGCAAGAGTTCTGAAGTCGTAAAAAGTATTTAAGGAAAACAGAAAAGGCGTTGAAGGCGACTCTGCACCATATATTTTAACTTATGGGCAGGAGCTCCATCAAATCAAGAGAGTCGATGTTTGACGATCGTCATCAAGTAGTAGAGATATTATTTAACTATTTCTTATATCTTTTGGATCTTGCCAAGGGATTTTGAAAACTCAATTGTGAATGAGACGCATTGTTTACCGAAGTTGTACCAAAAACATTGAATTTTCCAAAAAAACAGCATATTCGAGTAGCTCAAAAGATGCCTTCTCAAGGCAAGCCATTCTTTAAACACACTATTACCGTTTATGAAACATTAATCTATGGCTTTGATACATTAATTTACGCTTTGTTATTTGATACACAAACTGCTTAACATTCAAACGAAAGGCACTCGAAACGTAAAGCAAGGCCGAAAGTCGGTCAAAGATCAAAGTATAATTAACTATTGTCTTCGATTTTTGTTATGACACCGGATCAAATCTTCACCAAAAATATCAGGTTAGAGTACATTGAAGGATGCCCCTTGTTTAATTATCGCGAAGTCGTTTCATTAATCGCCAAGATGTTGTTTCATCTAAGGTAACCTGAGTAGTTGAATGTTATGGAAACCCTATTATGACGTAATCGGTTACGGGATTGGGATAGATTTTGATTTATGGGAAAAAACCGCTCGGCCGCTGGTGGGCTAGCCGAGGTTTGCGTTTTTCATATCCCAGATAGTCGCTTAAGTATTTCGTTTCAGAAAAACTCAGAAATTCAAATTCAAGAATTATTTTTCGGATATAATAAAATTTCGGATGCAATACATTTTTATCAGAAACTTTTAATTAACTGTTAATCGCTATATATTTTTGCAGGTCAGAATATATACAAAACGAATAGTTTTAGATTGTTTAATTTTGCAGTTTTCCTTTTAAAATATGAAACATTCATTTATATGGCATCTCTCATTAAAGAAAACTGTGTAATGATATATGATTAGACGGTAATATATTCTTCAGTAATAAATTCTAAGCCATTTCTGGCAAAATATTTCGGTCAGGTATATACTTTAGCATAAAAATCAAAAAAGACAAGGATATTCAAACATATCAAAAAGTAAAAAAATGACCTAAAATAATTATACGCAAATACAAGAAGTAAACAAAGAATATTGAGAAAAATAGATAATGAAAATAAAAAGCATTAAACATCCATCAAGAAACTTAAGATATGAAGGCTAGGGGAGGGGAAGCTGTAGATACCCATTGTTTTGCATGCGAACTCCTGTGTTTCCTTGTAGTTCTAGGTTAGCAATTATTTTAATGACAAAGCACAAATTTCACGTGCACCTAAAAACAAACCAAAAATAAAATGTTAGGGTTATGCTTGACTTAAAACAATTTGTCTTCTAGGAGCAGATCACAGAAAATTAGTTTTCATATAAAAATACGTTGTGAAAATTTTAAAAATGTTTTCGTCAGAACGTCAGGCTCTTTAATTTTGAAAGGAATGTTGACTTATAATTGAAGAAATCGGGATAAAAATTAGAGAAATTACTAATAACCTAACATTACAAAAATAAAATGTGCCTAATAACTAAATTTTACTTAGTAAATGTAATTTGGTTTTTCTTTCTACTCAAAGAATGAGTACAGAGTTTTAATGTGAAGAGACTCATTTAAATATCACAAATTAATTACAGTATCTTTCAGTGTCAATATATTTCTATAACATTTACTTGTTAAGATACATTAAATATTTAAAAAAAATAACTATTTAAATATTTTTAATACTTTTTAGAATTTTTAAGTTAATAATACCAACAAGTAAAAATTTTTTTCTAATTTTTATTTTTGATGTGTTTGAGTAGTTTTACTTCGTGAGCTTGCATATGAAGGTAACTAGTACTAATATTAAATTTATACTATACAGAAAAACGTGATACTTTATTGCTGACCGAAGGGATAACAGTTAGAATGAAACCTCGGTTCTCGAATTTAATTACTTCTTGAAGATTGTTAGGCAATTGAAACTAGCTTAACTATAAGAATTAAAGTAAAATAGATTACTTCATTTCTAGACCTCATATGATTACGCATTTAAACTTTCATAACAGCATTTTGAGCACGAGTTCATAGCATAAAACCAACAGAAATCGCTAAATCTTAGATGGTGGGGGAGATAAACACAATTTTAAACGAGTGGGGAAATAGACGAAAATTTAATTTTTGTGTATCTGTAGTAATCAGAGTGGAAGGCGTAAGTTTAACAATGATGAAGAAAAGAAAGTGAAAAGAGGTAAATATTTCGCCTCCTTTCTAAAGTGAGACAAACCATTGCCATCGAAAATTCTTACGCTCTGGGTTGCTGCTGCGTCAACAGGGTGATATCGTTAAATGAAACTTTGTCAGTTTAATGCAGAAGTCGTTAATTAAAGAATTTCCTTCCTTTCTTTTTTTCTAACCACGTTTTCTCAACAATCGACTTATTACATCTTCTGAAGTTATTCCATTTCTTCCTTGTTGAGCTTTTTTTATGATCTTCCTGCAACTCTTTCATGTGTTCATTTGCAACATCTAAGTTTTATCTACAGATGCTATATAATATATAAAAAATTCTTTTGCGTAAAACCTGCCAAAGTCTGCTTTCAGACCCCGATTTCCTACCGACTGAATTTATGGTTCTGTAAGTGACTAGCTGCAAGCTTTATGAAATGAAGTTAAGCTATGAGAAATATTAAAATAATATTTCCAAAAATCCCTAGTGATGTTTCTGCATCGGAAATGTCCTCAAAATTGTTTTGGAAGATCATTTGTTGTCGAATCCTTGAAGTACAAACAAACTTTGTAGTTTCAATTCCATAAATAGAGGATCACCTACTGTCGAAAGCTCACAGCTTCAAAACTTCAAAAGTTATTGTTACTGAATATGGCAAAGCTCATAAGGGATATCAGCATAAGAAAAGGGATAACTTCGTGGAGAATGTTTTAGGACCAGCTGGTTGGTATTCATATTACACAAAGCGGAAACCACAATGGCCAACCATGCAGCCAGCTTGTTCGCCTGTGTTCAAACCCAGAACTAATGGAGTCACAATGATCCGACAGGATTGCAAGCTCTTCCTTTGACTACAGGTTCAAAGATGCTCTACATTTTCTCTGTTGAATTCTCATTTCAGTTCTGAACTCAGAACTGAAGTGATTTGCACTTCTATCGAGGTTTGGCAGTTTCACCTCAAAACTCGATGGAGGTAGAAGGAACTACTGAAATTTCTCATAAAATTCCTAGTAAACAAGTATTTGCTGATATTTTCTTAGATAATCCGAAAATTATCATAAATGGGAAGTTTTTGTTCTGCAATGGCAAATTTTTGACATTGAAATTCCGTGAAATCTTTGAAATAATACTACATTGCCAAATATAGATAGATTTTTCACATTTCCAGTTTTCTTTTTAGATTGTTTAGGCGATTAATTTTTTTTAATATTGTGTCTTTCTAAATGAGGAAACGCAAAAATGAGTTTTCTGAATGTTATTTAACTTTATAATTTAATTTTGTTTTTAATATTATTATTTCCAATATTTTCGAAAGCTTTATTCAAAACGCTTTCTCAGTTTTACAGTGAAACTACGAACTGAATTAATTTTAACTTCAAATAGCTTTTGGAGAAAGTCTGGAGAGGAGAAAAAAGCACTTAATCTAATCTTCAGAAAGAAAGGCATCAAGTTAATAAAAAAATAAGGATTTTAGTTATTGAACGGAAAATTTCTGTGAGATTTAGCGCGCTTTAAGAATTCTTTTCTTCCTAGAGTCTTAGATTAAGATGGGTCTTGCTTGATTTATTAATTATGGCAAAGCATTCGAGTGCTAACTGTCTAAGGGAAAAGATGCTTTCGTGGAGGGCTTTGTAAGGAAAACTGGTTCAGCACGAAACCCAACCATGCAGTTCGCATAATGTTTTCCTTGCCAAACACTGAAAATGGTCCTTTGATAAACAAATTATTTATGTCTCATTTATGTCACATTATAGATGTTTATTTAAATGTAAACTACTGTCACAATGTTTTGCTATTTTTGTCATTATTGTTTGTTTTTATTCATGTTATTTTAGTAATATAAACTGAAAATAACATTCATTGTTTTATCTTGCAACCAAGTTGTTAGAGTCTAAAAGTTAAGGAGACATTGTATTAGACTTCTATCTCTTATATCTTGCATTTAGAGATATAAATACAAACAATGCGCTCCGGAGCTTGAAAATGCTTAGAGTTTTCACAGATGTTTCGTCAAAAATTGAATTTTGGGGGAAGGAGAAGAAGCACTTAATAATACATAAAGATTTATAAGGGAAAGAAGGTAAATTTCTGGCGTAGTGTAACACCAAAAAATAGTTGCTTGCAATGTGTTCGAAATAAATTAAGCCACGTTAGAAGCTTGCAACATATGCATTGTCAGGATAATCACAGAAATGACCGATCACAGAAAACGATTAAAAGAAACGGAAGAGATTCTACGTAAAACTGATTTCTATTCACGTTTCTCGAGGAGAAAAACACTGAAACTTCTAAGTAGCTTGCCTGCTCGTCGAACACATCGAATTACCTATAATTAGTGGTTTTAATGCTCGGTAACCATATATTTTTACTTCCTTGTACGAAGCAAAGGAAGTATTGTAATCACGAAAAATTCCGGTTATCATATTTCAACGAAAAAAATTCATTTTGATCTCTATCGAATGCAATTTAAAGATGTTTCTTCCTGACATCAGTATTTAAGGACATAATAGAGGATTCTTTTTTCTCAAGCGAAATTATAAAACTGATTTAAAATGGATTGAGCAGAGAGGTTTTCGTGGCGTACATATGTATCTCTCAAAACTCAAGAACGAGTAGCCTTAGAACGTTGAAATTTTGTATATGGAACTGCTATAAGAATAAAGAAATTGAGCTTACTGAGCCAAGTAACAGAGTGGATATTATATACAAATATATATATATATATATGTTTGATGCGGCCGATTGCAACTAGAATAGGAGGTGCACATCTACGCGTTATAGCAGTCCTATATACAAAATTTCAGCGCTTTGAGGCTATTCGTTTTTGAGTTATGCCAGATACGTACATACGTACGTACGTACGTACGTACAGACGCCAAGAAAAAAGGTTCTTCTGAATCCATTTTAAATCAGTTTTATAATTCGTTTGGGGGAAAAGAGTCCTTTATTCTGTCCTTGAGTACAGATGTCAGGCAAAAACATCGTTAAATTGCATTCGATAGCGGTCAAAATGGATATTTTCGTTAAAACATGATACCCGAATATGAATACTTACTTTTTACTTCGTACAAGGCAGTAAAAATAGGTGAAGTCTGCTAATTCCAAAACTTTCTAGGTTTGAAATACTACACGCTAGTAAATTAAGGTAAACAATCTGAATTAACAGAGTCACGACTTCTTTTTGAAGAGGAAATCTTTAAAAGGTTTCTTTTAATTAGAATTTGATTGAGACTTCCCAGTATTTTTCTAAAAGTTATTATGATTGAAGTTATTCTGAAGAACTTTACCGTTCTGAAAAGCCCTGTTAGCAACAAAGAAACTTTTCAGAGATCTGAATTCGAAGGAACATTTACTTGAATGTATCCATGGACATATTCAAAATACATTTATTGCTATAAATGCATTGATGACTGGAGAAGTTGATAAAGTAATATATTTTAAAGAAGATTTACGTTTACTTGAAATGGAAAGTTCAAAGATTCAGGGATTAATCCAAGCAGAAGTATAGGTAAGGAGCTGAGGGAAAATTCTCATGTTTCGTTATCAAAACTGTCTTATTCTCTTTAATTCTTTCTCGTCCTTCGGCACATTAGAATGAAGAAATTTGAAAATTAATGGACCAGTAACCATTGTTAATGCAAAACGCTTGAAGGCTGTAATTGTACCAAAAGCATAAAAGATGTCTTCTTCTAAGGGAAATTATTTTACGTTGGAATTTATAGCCTAGATTTCCAATTAGCCGTCAACCATTTCGCTGATCCCTATACATCCACTTCAGAAATTTAACAACTGAAGTTTTTTATCCTACTGGTTTCCCATTTCATAAGCCAGTCCATAAAACACAAAATTCAAACTTAGATATAGTAAAAAATATTAAAAGCACATTTTATTTAATAATTTGTTCAAGCGCTCTTTCTAGTCAAGATTCAAGCCACGAGCTTTGTTATTCTGGTTAAGAACAATATTCTTGAGAAGCAAATAGCGACATTTTAGCGAGAAAAAGTAATAACCATCGTTGATATCAGAGTGTTATTAAAATAAATAAAAATAAAAATAATAAATAAATAAATAT